TACAACGGCCCTGAAATAAAATGACTTATGGCTGTTTCTCACATGACCTTTGCAGCATCTCCCTGATCACACAATGAACACTCAGACAACTGGCTCTTGACTCATATTTATGACGGTTGCAGTATCCTGGGGTCACGTGATTCCCTTTGGCCACTTTCTGACAAACAACGTCAATGGGGAGGCCAGGTTCACTTAATAACTGTGCTACTCACTGGACAACTGCAGTTTCACTCAGATTCACTGAATAACCGTGGGAAGAAAAGTCGTAAAATGGGGCGAAACTCATTTAGCAAGTGTCTCACTTAGGGACAGAAATTTGGGACTCAATTGTGGTCATTAAATCCCTATAGTTGGTAGCAAGCGACACTTGGTAGCAAAGTGTCTTTCTAATCCAGTGTTTCTCAACCTTGGTGACTTTAAGTCCTATGGACTTCAACTCCCAGAATTCCCCAGCCAGCAAGAGCTGGCTGGAGGATTCTGGGAGTTGAAGTCCACAGGACTTAAAGTNATATATGTGACTGTATGAAATGAAAATGGAAAATAAAAACACATTTACATTAAAAATTGTGATCATCCGCCAAGGACTGCCGGTGTATTGTATGAAACAAATCAAACTATCTTTTCTATGTTGATAGATCAACATTAAAAAAACAACAACTGCAACAGAGGGCAAGACAAGAAACAATGAATGAAAATTAATCAAGGAGAGAAGCAACCTGGAATTAAGGAGAATTAATCAATAGAACGGTTTGACTCCAGAAGTTGTAGGTACTGGAGGTTTTTAAGAAAAGCCTGGACAGCCATCAATCTGAAATGGCGTAGGGTCTCCTGCTTGAGCAGAGGGTTGGACTAGAAGACCTTCAAGGTCCCTTCCAGCTCTATTCTGATTCTGAACGAAAATGTTTGCATTAAATGTCACAACGCAACTGTATAATCAAATCATCCACATGATGATATCATAAGATGTGCATTGTTATTCCGACTTCTGCTACTCTGTATACAAACTCACTTGAGAGCCGCTACAAAGAGGAGGGTTCAATTTATTTTACACAGCACCAGGAGGCAAGACAAGAAACAATGGATGGAAACGAATCAAGGAGAGAAGCAACCTGGAATTAAGGAGAAACTTCTCAACAGCGAGGACATTTTAACCAGTGGAACAGCTTGCCACCAGAAGTGGTGGGTGCTCCATCACTGAAGGTTTTTAGGAAGAGATGGACAGTCATGTCTGAAATGGTATAGGGCCGTGATGGCGAACCTATGGCATATGTTCTACAAGTGGCACGCAGAGCCATATTTGCCGGCACGGCAGCCCTTTGTAGCCCTCAGCTCCAGCGCACATGTTCAGGCTGGCTAGCTGATTTTTGGGCTTCCGGAGGGCAGGGGGAGTCTGTTTTCACCCGCCCCAGGCTTTAGGAAAGACTCCGGAGCCTAGAAAGGGCGAAAAACAGGACAACAGGACAACCGGAAGTTTGTTCCTGAACTTCCGGTTGGGCCTTTTCTGCCCTCCCCAGGCTTTAGGAAAAACTCCGGAGCCTAGAGAGGGCAAAAAAACAGGACAACNTAGATATGTATGCATGCATTATATGCCTTAATAGGTCTGCCATTATCTTGACAAATGCTTGAGACTGAGGGAAGCAGCTTAAATGAGAATTGATTGTTGTTATAAGCAAACCTGAGGAGTCCCTGGTGGGCTGATCTGTTGGGACTATACAAGCAAATTTCCAACGGTTTATTGATTTGTCCGGTAGGATTGTCTCGGCAGTTGATTTTAGGGTTTCTACCTTGGATTTCCTCTATTTAATGAACCTGTTGAAAAGCTTTTCATGTACAAAATTAATGTTCTCCTATTGTTCTCTCTCCTGTTCTTGAGAACAATGGGAAAAAATGGAAATATTCTTGAAACATTTCTCCTGTAGATGCCTTCTCTATGGGGCTTGTTGTGATATACTAGCAACTGGTAGCTTGAAGAACTTTCACAAAGCCAAAGATGGAAGGATCGTTCACAAGGAAGCTCCTTTTAGCTCTGCATTCTTACTAGAAGAGGACTTCCTTTCAACCTGTCAGTTCCATCAGGCGACCGAGAACTTGGGCAGGGCCCAATCACTGTCAAGCCATCAATCACTGCCAATCAATGATGAATTGACAGGCCAACCTCCTACACAAGCAAACATCATCTTGTCCATGGGTGTCACTCTGACCCATGATGAATTGCTAAATCTTCATCTCAAAACCCTAGTGGGGGGCAAAAAATACAATTCAATCTAAATGTTTCTTTAAAAATTAGTTTTTGACCTGGGATGATCAATTAATTTATCTCTTCCCATCCTTTGCCTGTTTTGTGATTTTTGATGGAGAGCTTTCGATTAAAGCAGTTATCTCTTATTTTACTTTACAAATAGTATCTCATGTATCAAGTATTTTAGAAGCAATGGATCAACATATCTATATATATAAAAGCAAAATACCATTCACGCATCATCACGAAATCTCCAGAACCTTGAAGCCTACAAACTTGTATTTTTCGAAATGACCATCAGATCATTAGTATATTATTATATTATTGGAACTCTGTTCCAACTGCCACTTGGGTGTGGGCATGGCCAGCACATGACTCATCTGGCCTGAAGGCTGGGAGTTTAGACATTCTACTCCCCCTCCCCATCTGAAAAATGCTCTGATGCTAAGGAGTTAGATTGAGGGAGAGAAATGGAAATGATAGGAGAGACTTCTGTGGGGCCAGCCTGAGGGAGAGAAGGGGGAGTGGAGAGGAGAGGCGTCTGTGAGTGAGCCTGAAGGAAAGAAGAGGAGAGGAGAGGTTTCTGTGGGGCAAGCCTGAGGAAGAGAAGGGGGAGTGGAGAGGAGAGGCGTCTGTGAGTGAGCCTGAAGGAAAGAAGAGGAGAGGAGAGGTTTCTGTGGGGCAAGCCTGAGGAAGAGAAGGGGGAGTGGAGAGGAGAGGCGTCTGTGAGTGAGCCTGAGGGAAAGAAGAGGAGAG